GACGATCAACTGTGACTTGACTTGACTCATGACGATCAACTGTGACTTGACTTGATTCATGACCACCAACTGTGACTTGACTTGCCTCATGAAGATCTGCTGTGAGTTGACTTGACTCAGGGGAATCAACTGTGACTGGACTTGATTCATGACGATCAACTGTGAATTGACTTGACTCATGACGATTGACTGTGACTTGACTTGACTCATGACGATCGACTGTGACTTGACTTGACTCATGACGATCAATTGTGACTTGGCTTGACTCATGAAGATCTGTTGTGACTTGACTTGACTCATGAAGATCTGTTGTGACTTAACTTGACTCATGAAGATCTGTTGTGACTTGACTTGGTTCATGAAGATCAGCTGTGGCACGACTTGGCTTATGACAATAAACTGTGACTTGCCTTGGTTCATGGGGATAAGCTGTGACTTGACTTGCCTCATAACGATCAACTGTGACTTGACTTGACTCAGGATTGACATCGGTGACATAACAGGGCGCTGTTGTGTCCGCCATTTTGCGATCAGGCTCCGCTGTCGCCGGCATTTTGTGAGCGTGCTCCAGTGTGGCTGCCATTACACGAGTGAGTGCGGGGTTGTGTTCCTCCGCGATACCCACAGTGAACGCTGAACCAATTGTCAACAAACCATAATCCATACACTTACTTAAAGATGAACACGGACCCTCGTGAATGAGTTTGGACTTTAGCGGTTGATTAATGCCCTCATAGAAAAAGTCTATCAAAACACAGTCCGGCAGATCTGAATAATGAGCGATGGCTAAATATTCTTGAATGTAGCCCTCCAGCGATCGTGTGCCCTGTCTAAGGGCTAACAATATTCTTCCTGTATCCATACCCGTCCATTGTCCATCCGAGAAGCTGCTGGATCCTTGTGTGGCCGAGTATTCTGTTACGGGGCTGACGAGACATGAGACGTGCGGATCCAAATGCAAGGCTTTATTCATAGACATAGTTAGAGACAGGCAAGGGTCCGATAATGGCAACGGGTATATAGAAGGCAAGACACAAGAATAAATCCTAGAGCTAGCATGGGTCTACAATCGGCAAACAGGATCAATAGGGCGAAACTAGAGGGATAAGTCCAGGTACAAGGCAAGGTCCAGGCAGGGGCAAATAATATCAGAGTAGGGCAAGACTAGAGGGGGAATCCGAGGTACACGGGAGAAGATAAGGACACGAGGAAACAGACAAGGCAAGACTAAGGTAAGGCTATGAGAAACTAAACGGGCTCCGTAGAGTAGCTATCGCTAGGTGAGTGATATACGCTATACAACACTCGGCAGTGGGAAGGGATCAGAGAGAGTGCTATATAGGGAATGTGTGATTGATTACAGCTGTGTGCAATCAACTGTGTGTGTAATCAGTGCAGTGGATGATGGGAACTGTAGTCCGGGTGAAGTGCAACAGTGGTGTGGTGCAAGAGTCCATAGTAGTGGAAGAGTGACCTCTGGTGGTGAGCAGACGGAAGTTCATGGAACGAATTCGTGACAGGGGCATAGAGGAGAAACAATAATGTACAGTATGTGGAAAATAATGTATTTTGAACCTTAAACCGCATAAATGTCAGTCTTATTTTTTATTATTATTATTTTTTTTTTTATCTGTGTTTTTTGTTCTGTCACTGTCATTCTGTTACACTGTGGAAGCTTCTATCACGAAAACAAATTCCTCATATGTGTTAACATACCTGGCAATAAAGCTCATTCTGATTCTGATTCTGATAAACACATTTCATTACACCAAATACACAAAATAATGTTCTTTTTAGCAGCATCATATGACCCCTTTAATTACTCCATTATTCACATGGCACAGCTGATTGGTTTTTGTTGCATTAGCAGCCAATAAGCTTGCTGCTCAACATTAAAATATAGCTAGACCAAACATTGCCATGACTACCATGCTAAACTTTCAGAGAATTGTCATGATGTAAATAAGATTAATTGGATGGATCAATGTCAGCAAGGTGTGTGCAGACAGACTGAATAGGCAGATGATGAAGTTCAAACACAATTTTTAATAGTAATCCAAAAGGTAATCCAAAACAGGGCAGACAAAACACACCAAAACATAAACGTGACCGGACAATGAGTGCAGGAGATGGTACAACTTAAGTATACTGACAAAACAAGGTAATTAATGAAACACAGCTGAATCAAATAAACTAATTACCGTAAACATAGAAACTAAAGAGTAGCGGGAAATACAAACAAAGGAAAACAGGAAAGTAGTGAATACAAACTAAAAGTCCAATATAACTCAAACAAACTGAGCACAACTGTGACAATCATTCAGCATATCATGATTTTTTTTTCTCAATTAAAACATCTAACCGATTGCCAATCCAAGGTTGTCAGAATGATAGATTTCAGAACAGATCTGCCAATAAGCTTCATGGGAAATGGTGTAAATTCTGTTGTCAGATGTTTTTCACTCTTTATCTTGATGTCCATAAGGTTGTTTATAGATGTGTCATTTTGCATGCCAAATGTCAATTTTAATTGTTCAAAAGTTCTACTTTTTCAGATTGATAGGTACTGTAATTGCATGCATATTAGCAATATAAAGAAAGATAATATGTGAGAGAGAGAAGGGAGTGTTTGAAAAAAATTTGAAAGTGGAGTCAAAGCTGCATTCTCTTCATAATTTGTTTTGAGTAATTAAATTAATTGCATAAAGCATTTGTTACACTTTTTGTAAGATGGATGCTAATTGATTAGAAATTACTTCATTAATTAATTTCTGTACATTTGGCAA